TTTCTTTGTCGCACTTTTGATTCGCCACATTACCACCACCCTGTGATGAGAGGTCCTGCTCCCTCATTCAAGACAGAATTTTCCTGAGGATCAAATCGTGACCCGTGCTTATTGAGACGGGGGCGATAAGGACAAGTTACACATACCTACATCACCAAATAACCATAAAAATACTTATGAACTTATCAGGTTCGCGTTCTCGGTAATCTTCAACGATACTCAATTCAATGTGTGCTGTCATTGAATATGTTCAACGAGAAGATCTTTTCTTTTCTATATTACTGGTTTATTTTGGTTGGAATATTGACCCACGATCGACGCTTCAATCCGGTAGCCTATTCCACACGATTCAACTCGCAAAAAATACAATTTGTTCGAAAGTGAGTTGTTTAGGAAACTATGAGGGTTCCCATGTCTGACAAAATTTCATAAAAATGGAAATTTAAAATTTCTTACAAATTTTAATATATCATTTAAGGGCGGAAGTGGTGTAGTGGCAAGTGGCACGCTTACCACGCGAGCGGTCCGGGGATCAAATCCTGGGTCGTGAGTCGCCCGGGCCAACCCAAGCCTTCCATCCCTCCGGGGTCGGTTAATTGGTACCAGACTTGTCTGGGAGGATAAAAACACTGACTTGTACATCGGCTGGCCCCCGCAAGTCATTGTATAGGCCACATCGCATTCAAACGCCACAATGGAAGTAGAATGCGTGCCGCATCCCAAAAAGGGATTGATCAACGGCAAATGCTTTATCCTTTTATCATGTATGTCACGGCAATGTATTTGGCATGACGTATATAATGGTAAAGCATTGTCATGCCATAAAATGTCAACAAACTCCACTCCATTCTCAGACTTAATTTTTTATAGGCAAAGTGAGTGACCGTTTGTAGGTACTAAGTGTGTCTGAGACGTGGCTATCAGGCTTAATTTTGAACTAAATTCAATTTCAAATAAGCGAAAGCTCACGATTTGCCGAGCGTTCACTACAGCGGTCACTGTGCTCTCACCGGACTAGAACGAAAAGTAAAGCTATGAGCTGGGTACCCAGTAGGGTTAACTATGACTTTGGAGGAAAATATTAAAAATTTCGCGACATCTCTTTTGAGGGTTCCTATTACGAGCACCCCCCGTGCCACCGCACGTGAAAAGGGTCACGAATAAATATGATCCCTCACCACACCCACCGCCATAGCTAATCTCTGATTCTGAAGCCAGCCGCCAAGGCACTCCATCTCGGCCACTTTTCCCTCCAAAACTACCGTCGAGCTCGGGAAGAGCGAGGCAAAGAAGAATGGAAATGGAGAAAAGGCAAACGCTAAAATTTTGCATATTCCCTTTCCTAGTGGGAATTTAGGCAAAACTGCTGAAAACCTACCGAGGACGAGCCTCCCCTACAACACGACCCCTCAACTTCCACTTCTGCCACATTCCCTTCTGAAAACGACCACTTTCCCCAATCACACCATGCAAAACCGGTATAAGGACCCCTCCAAAACCAGTAAGTAAATCACCAACATGTTGATGACCCTGGTGCCGAGGCTGACAATTCAACCGACAATGTCCTACTTACTATAAAGCGCTTCGTCCGTCATTCTAGCTGTTGTTCTGTCTGTCGGGTATGTCTGCCAGAAATTTTCTGAAAATTCACCTCGAGGGACCCTGTCAAGTGTGGGATGGGTGGGCAGGGTCTCACGTAAGTACAAAACACACATCAGCTAAGCGGAGCCCCGCCCACAGAGGGCGTGGCGTGCGTCGAAATGAGCAGTACCAAAGACGAAAATTAAAAATATGATACAAAATTAGCCTGAGACAGTGGAAAAATTGGGTGAAGGTGTAACTCAAACATAATTTCAGACAATAATAAATCTATTCATTAATATAGAATTCCATTTCATTTTTCATGAGTAAGAATTTCAAATTTCATCTTTGGTATGGATCGTACTATCATCCCACCTCCTCGATTCCAGATTCATCAAATCAACTGCTGACGAGGAAGAAATGATGGACGACTTTTGTGTGTATCAAGTGAATTCTGACATGATCGTGATATTGAACATGATCGGAGCGCACGCCAATGACGTCATCTCTTGTGAAGTCCTTCAACAAATGTGGAAAAATTACAAGTGAGCAACCGTTTTTGCCTTTTCCTTTTTCAATACTCTTCACGATAGGACTATTCTTTCGGATAGCGCTTCACTCAGAGGTCAGAAGCTCTAACTCTGGCAAGCAGGTCAAGAGCAGTACAGCAAGACCAATGAAAACGAAATTTCTCTTATTATTTACTCTATTATCTCCAGATCTTGTTGGGGCGGGCTGCCGGTGAGGGCTTTAAAGGAATCTTCCGCGGAAAAAGCTCCGCCTCCATTACCACAGAAAAACGATACCCCTTAGGCCCTAGCCTCATGAGCATAGCAAAAAGAACGGAACATAAGCGTTAGTTTCGATAATACTAATCCTACACACAAGACAAAATGATCACTCTTTCCGTGGAAGATTCCTTTAAGGTATCGTTTTCTGTGGTAATGGGGCGGAGCTTTTTCCGTGGAAGATTCTTTAAGGCACTGGTCGCATTCCGAGTGCGTGTATATTCGACAGGAATGTGAAATAGAAATACGAAGGGGAACGTTAGTGAGGACAAGCAAAAGGCACTATAAACAACGCTGAAATTTTCCTTGTGAGGTCAACCGTGGTACGACGGAGAGACACACCGCAGCGAGGAGAGGGGAAATGCAAGAGAGCAACTCGTACACTAGAGAGCGCGGAGACCACGTGCGCCGCCACCCGAAAGGATGGCAGCGGTCGCAGTGGTACGGTGAACGCCTTAGCGAGTCGCGCACTTGTCACGAAAATATTACCAGAAACCCCCCAAAAAAATACCAGAAAAATTCTCTCTTTGAATGAGGTAGCAGGACCCCTGTGAGAAGGTGCGCTGCATTTTATTTTAACAAGGAAGAATTTCTTTCAGGACATGGAGCATTGTTTTTTTCAGAATGGTTTTTCGAATATTATAGAGGCGGCATTTGAGGACAGAGAAACTCGATCCATTTTTTCCCGAACGCCCCCGAATGTTAAAACAACGGGGAAGGAATGGTAATTGATTGATTTGCAATGACATCTATTCTCGACAATAGCACCATTTAGCGGCCATCTGGGGGCTCCAAACTGTATTGCAAAAATTAATCGTCATCAGGGATCGAACCCTGGATCACTTCTTCACCACTGGTTTGACATTCTTGGAGGCGTTCGGGAGAATGGATTATGACTCTGTGTTCCTTGCATGAACCCCGTACACTATTGCATAAAAACATTTCGTAGAAGCATACCCTGGCCTGAAAGACTCTCGTATAACTTCCACCCGTGGCCCTTGGCAGAAAGAGGTAAAGCGCCAGCTTGCCCCCCTTCTGGATTTTGCAGACAGACCCATGATTCTGAACCGCTTTTTTTATTGTTTTTTGTCCAGAGATGCAATCCTGGAAAGCTATATGGCCAACGACACATCTCCGAAGAAGAACGAGTCCAATCAAAATTCCCCACCAAATCTATTTTCTTCGCAGGAAACGAACCGAGCAAGCGAGATCGTCATGATCTTCACTTTTCCGGAGAAACAGATGGATGTAGAAGAGTCAAGACCTCTAGTGTTTGCATAGCGAACGACAACGATTTTGCGGGAATCAACTGCTCAATAAAATGCTACTTTCACGCATTTGCTCAAATTCACCAAAGCATGAGAGGAGGAATTCTCTAGCAGGAAATGGGAAGACGGGAGTACGAACGAGAGCAGTCAACTGAATTGTTTCAGAAAATTTATTATGTAAACAAAACTTTTCAAAAACACTTTGATCTATGGCCTTCACTTGAGCCAGTACCAAAAAAACTAGTAGATTACTGAGGAATCAATACCTATTACTCTTCCTAATCAAGAAACACGTAATTCAATGTTGTTGGCGGAACAACGCCGATGACTATTACCGGAATGAAAGAAAACAACCGAGACACACTCTGAAGTTGATAAAAAGGCAAAAGTGTGACCTAATCCAGGAATCTCGCCGTCTTCAACCTCATCCTCATCAACCATTACCAAATCGATGTCTGAGACCACTAATGCTTCTTCTTCGTCTTCCACATTATCAGACTTCTGCGATGACGTTGACAGTTTTCTCCTTTTAGCGCTCGTACTAGGTGAGCCAGGATGGTCAGAGTTTCTGAACGATTCTTGACGGTTCTCTTCCCTGCTGTACTTATGCCGGTGATCTGAAAAATCTACAATACAGTGTCGATCCATGGGATTTGATGGCAATCGTACTTACCGCGTGATAATGTGGCCCGATCTTCGTATGAACCCCTCGTCCTTTCGGATTTTGTTTTGGATAGTTCACTTCACCACTGCAAGACAAAAATTAACCGCAATATCTATAAGAGAGCATATAATTATGTATACAGGGGGGGGGGGGGAAAAAAGAATCAAAACCCCCTCACATTCAAAAAGGAAGTAATTACGCGTTGCGAAACCGAACCAAATGAACCCAAATGACTATTTAAAAGTCCTTCAGATTCTATTGTCAAAAGAGCTAGCATGACCGCCTTCTAAACCCCGAGACAAGCATCAGAAGATTTTTCCTGCTAGCGCATACATAGCCATTGTGTACAAAGCTACGATGTTCGTCGAAGTACATTGACCAACTAAGGACGCTGCGCAAAAGCGTCCTGCGATCTTTAGAACGACTGATGTCTCTAAAAAGCTATCCAGCCACTTATCCATGTGACGTAATTATGTACGGCAGCTGCAGGGCCGGAGCGATACGGTAACCTCGTTTTGAACTCGACGGTTACGTAGCAGATTGCCCGCCAAATACTCTCACGAAGGGGGGAAGGGGCCCTGAGGTGCCGCAGTACGGGAATGTAACGCGACCGGCACTTGCGTTACTCCAGCGCCTAACCACCATCCGTTAAAGGCTCATTAAGGTGGTGTCTGCAGCCCGAACTTTTGCCTTAGTGATGGATACACATCTACCTCAGGCTAACTCAGAAAAAAAATTAGGAATCTTTAAGTGCTCATGGGATATGAGATAGAAATCAGAAGATGAATTGACTACCATTGAGTTAAGGCCATCCAAATAGAGGACCAAATGCCCACGCCAAGTTAAAGAGTTCCTCGTCGTGGAAATCCGATGTTTTTAACCGAAGCTCATTTCTTTGTTCTACCAGTGGTTTCGTTCCATTCTTTAACAAAGTATATATTCAAATGTGATACTGCCTTTCAGATTAAAAATGACATAAAAAGAAATCGCAATTTTCTAGACGTCAACTAAATGGGGCAAATTAACAAAATAGGGTGTGATCCGAGGGCCAAATTTTATACGCACGACCCAGGCAGAGGTCGTGTGAACGTGTACCTTCGGTATGTAGGATAGACCCTTAGAGGACAATCTCAGATGTGGCATTTCCATGCACGAAAATCAAACGGCAAGAGCGCTAGGGAACTTTAATGTGCATTCAGCTGTTGTCTAGCACCCTCCCCCTTTTTCATCTGTTTGCGCTCCTCTGTCGCATCGTACTTTCTCGAGCCGCGTATCCTCATGTGGTCCTGCAGCAGCCGATTCCGAGACGTGTGAGTGAGCTCTTACCTAAGATTTCTGCCACGATTCTCCCCTATTTTTTTTCTTCACTGACCGCCCATTTCTCGCCAATACATACATTTGTGGGCAAGAACCACACAACTTGATTCTGGGGTATGCCTTTGAACACGTCCTCTTCAACGAACTACAAAACATTACTCACGATCTCTTGTACTGTGGGCGTGTTCAGTACGATGGCTCAATTTGGGCGGAGATCGTCGAGTCGTTAAATCTCGTTTACTGTGGTGTTGATCGCAAGATTTCTTCATGGAATGATGACGATGCGACCTATCTAAACAAAACTGGTGTATTGTATTTTTATTGTCATTAGAAGCAAGAACCCACAGGCATATTTAAGCATAGGGTTCGAGATCAGCACTACCATAACTATAAGGTGGTGCTACCCCTGACGGACCCCTTCACTAATGGGATTGCGTAGAGCAGACTTGCTGTCCAAAAAGATACCAGTTGAGATTTCCCTGACTCGTTTAATACTCTGTTGGGAATGAACCATAGGATCTTGGAATCCCACTACGCAGCTTCGTCAAAGGCTGACCACTGGAGCAATCCCTCCAGGTAATGGGCAACCGCAGAGATCAGGCCAGTTCTGTGACTCAAAACGCGTGAAAAGAGTCTGAGAGGCTTAGAACTTGCTATATAGACAGCTCAAAAGTCTACCACTGTAGTATCTGTATTCGCTCCTTGCTGCTCCCTCTCGTCTGTTCCCTCTCCTCAACACTCAGTGCCTCTCAGACTACTCATCTCACAGGCTACCGGCGACAATCCATTCTGGCAATATGAAAACGATTGGCTAATTGGGTGTGATTTAGCGAGTTTCTCCCTGACTCACTGAACAGGTAATTTTTCACTACATACCCATATTTACCTCGCACCTGCTTTTGAGGAATGTACCTTCAATGAGCCATCGAAGTATACATAGTCATAAACGTCACCGGTAGACTAGACACTCAGCGCGCAGGGGGAAGGGAGGAGTGGCTGGGACGCCTCTTAACGCCTACCCACCAAATAAGTTCAACGGCTCCAAACCACATCACCATCGGCTCGTGATCGCTGCCTACCGAATCAAGCATTCCACTGACACATAATGATTTTCGGCGCATCTGTCCCTAGCACGGCAAGTTTCCTCGATTCAAAAGAGATGCACGCTCCTAAAACATTAAAAAGCGGTCGGACTCTGTCCAGAGCTCTCCTTCACCTGCATTCTTTACGACCCACGATACATAAACGACAATGTTTCACCTCGACGCTGCCGCTGCAGTTTCACCTAACTGCAATAGACTCCGAACAGCTATAACTTCGACACATTCTCTATCTCTTCGGTTTCTTATATAAATTATGAGAATGCGTCGTGAAACAACCATCTTCATACACACATTGTGCGGCCTTCGAGCGTGACCGAATTATCAGCATACAACAGATGTTTAGAAATTAAACATGTAGAGGATACCAAAAAATCGACCCCAATAATTAGCCAATACAACTAATTCCGAAGTAGTCCCAACAGAGCCAGTAGTGCGAACGTCCTTTTCTTCAGCATCATGCTTTACCGAATCTTTAAAAAATAACATCAGAGACTGCATCAAAACTCCAGCTCCACAGATTCTACGACAAGCCGCCCACGAAACAAAAAAAAAGAATCCTCATTCGAGCAGACGGCTAGTCATACTAAGAAAATGCGAAAAAATGCTCTACATCAACCTATCAGATACTACGAAAGACTCACCTTTGATTGGAAATTGTGCTTCTCTTCTGACGCTATGTTCTTATGTCTTCCTTTCTGAGAATCTCCATGCCTATCTTGTTTTGGTTCTTTGCCATGAACATTTGATCTTGATAGATTCTCTAATGGCGTGACTTCAATGTGCCGCTCACTTTCCGGAACATCGTCTTTTCTTCTGTGACGCGAGCTCTCCACTTTTCTCGTTCCGAGTCGGTCACTTTCCCTGTGATAGGCGACATTCTCCTTCCCCGAGAGCTCAGACGAAAGTCGACTATCAGTACTTCGACCATTCTCTCCGACACCACTCGTGTTCTTTTTCTCAGTTGGAACAAGATTTAGGGGTTGGTCAGAACGGCAAGACACACGACTACTTTTATGATAACTATCTCGTCGAACATGCTTTTTCATTGAAATCATTTGCTTGCTTCCGAGGTGCTTTCACACCTGTCTCTTCTTTGAGAATGCCGTGTGGGCTATGATGCCGGGTAGATGTACGTTTTCTTTTTGTCTCTCAGTCCTGCCTGCACTCCTTTTCATTTCTTCACATTCCCCCCAGAAAAGAAAAACCCCGCGATGGCTATTGAAATCACTTGTTCTTCCGCTATCTTCGCTCTTTATAATCTTTTGACCTGCACATGTCTTTTGCATGTGAAACGGCTTCTGAATCCTTATTATAATCTTTATGAACTCCCCAGCCGTGCAGCGGCGGTATCTGATAGCCTCCATGGATAAACTCTCCTTCAAACTGCTAACAATCTTGGCACAAGTCTCAAATGACAACAAATCGTTGGGATGTTTTGCTTTCCTCTCGGAATCTCACACCTGCCATCGCTCGCGGTTGACGACGATTCAAGAGAAAAAATTGGACTCATCCACCGTTCCCTTTTCTTGTTTTTCTTCATGCTCTTGTCACGACTCCTTTCAGAAGAATGCGCACTCCTACATCGTCAGATTCTCCCACTGCTTTCCTTGAAGCCGGCTGTGGACTGTTGTGCGATGACCTTGAGTGACTTAAACGACGTCGAGTACTAATCACGACTCTGTTCCTGCTTGGTCTCGGATTCTTTTTGCTCATTTACAAGTTCGTGGAGGAGACTGCCTGTCGTCGTCAGATCAAGCTTTCGATCATCTGGGAGCTAAAAGGCATTGCCATGAAAATAGATGAAAGACGGATGTGAGATATGAATAGAAAATAGATGTGAGATAAGATGAAGGTAGTGAAAACTCACCATTGTAGGAAGACCATCACTATTTTCATCGAGCTGATTCACTGTTAACCACTCCGACATCTCGTCCAAAGAAGAGAACTCAACCTCAAGAGCTAGTTTCCCACGAAAAACCTGAAGGAGAGATTGATTACAGAAAGTTTTCATAAAAAAAGCAACAATTAAAACATAATGGACCAGTTGGCGCCGCACGCATTGCGCGCACAACACAGATCTGCGGCGAATTTTGATGGTGCGACGAAAATTTTCAAATTTGGCTTGATACACCACGAATATCTGAATTCTCAGCTAAATTCTATCCGCTCCATCATCGACGGCTTTCAACCTCTTTTTCTTCGTCAACCATTATTCTTTTTTCCCGGTCTCCGGACTGCTTCCGGACAATAAATCTCGTGGCAAACTCCGCCTACTTCGGTGCATTGCCCGAAGTAGACTCAGAACCTAGTTATGACCATTCGTCCGCAAACCACCGCCCACCTTTGGTCGAGCCCGCCTCACCCGATGACTGCCCAACCCATCTCCATCCCCATTTCCCGCCTCGGGGCCTTCTGCGAAGCCGGAGTAACAAACTTTTTCGCAAACTCCCGCCCTCAAACCCCCCCCCCTTTTTTTTTTGCCGGCCCCGCCCACTCAGCGTAGTTGGGCCTTCACCCACCTCTATACATCTTTTTCCCGGTCTCCGGATCTTCTTGGAACCGAGTTATGAATTTTCGTTGCAAACTCCGCCCACTTTGGTCATGCCCCGCCCACCGATGACAGTTGGACCTCCACTCCTCCATCCACCTTTTCCGGCTCACTAAGACTTCTCCGGCCCGAATTATGAGGACTTGTAGAAAACGCTGTACACTTCAGAGCGCGCTCCGCCCATTGTGGGCGGGCCTCCGCCCACGTCATGTATGCTGGAAACACCTTAGACATTGCTCCCTTACACCAATTTGTTTTCTGCTCTGTAGGCTTTCTCCCAACCGAGTTATGAAATTTTTCATAAAGCACTGCTTTTTTGGAGAACGCCCCGCCCACCGGGGGTGGGTCTCCCTAATTCGATGTGACTCACCAATGCACACCTTTACCCACTTTTTGGCCCAGTTTCGAGGTCGTTTTCTAAGAAGATTGAAAATCTCGGTCGTCAGTACACTTCATGTCGACGCAATCGCCACGCCCACTGTGGGCGGGGCTTAGCTTAGCTGATGTGTGTTTTATACTTCTCTAGACCTGGGCCACCCAACCCACATTTGACCCGGTCTCTCCAAGTGAATCCCCAGGAGCTATTGAATTTCGTGACAGACATACAGACGACAGAAAGACGAAGCGCTTTATAGTAAGTAGATAGGCGAAACAAGATATGTATATGCAACGGAATCAAAGGCTAGCACATTAAAAGGGACAAAGAAAGGTCCAGGAACAAGACCGGAATGGACAGACCCTTATTGTTCGTACATATCATATTTTCGTATACTTTTTTATGTTGTCAAATGTATTTCCACGAAATTTTCAGAAACTGTTTGTACAACCATAAAATACATGAAATTATTTGAAAAAGAGCCTAACTGAAGATTCAAAACCGAATGATTTGATAAAAACGGGAACTTACTTTAATATACTTCGGGAGAATTCGATTTTTCCTCTCTGGTTTGAAATGGAACAAACAAGCAGGGCATTCGATCAGACCACTCGCCTCTAGCCTAAACAAAATTACAATCACAGGGACTATACGGAGAGCTGAGCTGTACGAAGAACTGAAAGCGCACAAACTTTCGCTTGAGCGTGATGTTCTCCTGCTTCAGATCCTTGATAGCCTTGCGCGCTGTGATGATCAGCTTTCGCATGTTATCGGCGTAAACTCGGAGCTTCTCTTCGAACACATTTTTACACTAAACATAACAGTAGACAGAATTCAAAAAAAAAACTGAAAGAAAGACTGTAATTATGCTACGACAAACAAAAATTGTAGCGAAAAATGGTATAGTACTGCTATTTTTTGCACAGTTACCATGAAAGTTTACGCGCCGTCCTGAAGCAGAAGGTAAGCAAATATTATGCGTCAACCATCGAATTCCTCCACAAATTAGGAGCAACCCTTGTTCGCTGACACCTGGATGCCCTCTGACATTGCCGAAAGACTTGTGGTTGCTTTCTCCCGGAACGGTCTCGTAATTCCCTTGATCTGGTCATTGGTGTGCAGCGCTCTTGGACCATAGCTCTAACTGCATGTCCACTGCCATTTTGCAGTTCAGGCAATGTTGCTTTGGCCAGTGATACCAATGCACTCGCGTTACAAGGGCTAAGGGATTGTTGTTGCAAACTGAAACAGCTTCAAGACCAATCTCGTATTAGAAATCTGCGCTAGAAGTTTACTGAGTTTAACTCAGCAATGCGATGGCGAGCATTTGTCAAGTAGTCTCTCAGCCGCATCACAGGAGCAACGTCTTGTTTTAGTGAACCGAACGTGGGTGCCTGATCCCCTGAAACAGCTCATTTGGCTGGAATTGGAGAGTGCTGAAAACTAGAACGCCGAGTATGGGCAGAGTCAGAGGGACTCTGTACGATGACAGAAAAAGTTGGTGGATCTCCTGCAAACTCAGATGCAAACTGTCTTATCATGTCTGCCCACAAAATCAGAACGGTGCATACAAAATGTTGCAACGGAATCAATCACCAAACCCCGCCCCGTCACACAAACCCCGTCCACGTTAGCGCAGGCAACCCGAAAACGACGGCATTTTTTCATTTTTTTCCGCCAGTTTGACATACGAAATATACATACACACTGTAACAACACCCACTCCCGCAAATCCACACAACGCACTCACTTTCTGACATTGTTGGTGTCTAAAATTATTACAACAGTGATCACTCAAGGTGTGCCGTCGAGTTTTCAGCTGCGAACGTCCGATAAGAGTTTACCAGACAGTGATTACGCCACTGTGGGGAGAGGGAGGAATGGAGGATTTTTTGCTCACCCCGACCATCTCTTCCGTCACTCTGTATAACACTTGATTTATATTATTGAAAAAAATCTACCATGGATTTGGAAGTGGTAGACGAATTCGATGAAGCACGACGACCGCTCGGTATCTTCACTGCTTCCTGTAAGAAAGTGTTACATGACTGTAAACAGACAGAAATCTAGACACTGCACAGGAAGACAAAGACAGAATTAGTATGAATTCTCTGAGAAAAATTGTAGTCCATTTTCCCTCTGTTTAGCCGTATTTTAAATCTCATCTAGTAGGGGGGAGGGGTGGAGGCGGCATGTGATGCACAGTCGCTGCGGCCTACAGAAATTCCAAATTTTTGCAGAGAGAAAATCCTCGAAATACGTGATCGAAATCCATCTGGCTTACGCTTTTACCCGCACCCCGGAGCATCCTTCTCTTGCGAAAGATTGGATTACTTTAGGCGATATGGCTGCTGCGCGTTCTCCACCCCACCTTCTCCTTTCCGAATGAGATTTGAACGTTCATATTTCGTTCCCCTACGCCGATTCTGCCACTATACATTTTCAGAATGCATGGCACTCATGTCCTGCACAAGCAATCGCTTTGCTTTTCTTGGTCTGTCGCCCGATCGATACCAATTTGTTTACGATGGATGTAAGGACTGTGTGCCTCAGATATGTGCCATATATTCCACATGGCATTGAGATTGTGGCAGTTTTCGAATGCCTGCTCCCCCTATACAATGAGCAAGTCGAGGTACAGGCCTCTCACACCAATGCGGTAACGGCACCTTACCAATTTCTTAATCCTCCATTTATATATTCCCATTCCGGTACATGTTCGCGCAAATACCAGGAATCCGTGAGCCATAGGGATTCAGAAAGTTCAGGGGTGAGGAAGGGTAAGGCGATTTCACTGACTGTGTTTAAAGCTACAATATGCGAACTTACACTAACTCGTTGAGAGGATGCAGACATACCGCACGTCGTGACAGCTGCTCGTCCGCGCGCCCCCTCTCCTGGATCCCCACTACGTTTCTTTGTGAAAGAATCTCTCATAATTGGAGATTAGCCAGTAATGCTGACAGTTGCTAATAAACAGGGTATGAACAGAAAGACAAATAATAACTAACTAACCCAGCTCCTCAAAAATCCAGTAGTCATCTGGCAATTTATGGCTATCCTTCTCAGGCTGTGCTTGTGTCATAGAAGCTGGAACAACACAAATTATTGAGAATGAAGATGTGCCTTCAAAATAAAGGGGAACAAAAAAACCTAGAATGTTTGAAAATTTGAATGTCGCACAATTTTCTGGATACTGACCGCAGCTACGTACGCAATTAAGTTCAGACACTCGTCTGCTTTTCTGCCTTCTTTGTTATTTATCACATATTTCGTTATAGCTTCACCACTTTGTTTGTTCTATCTCTTATTTTTTTGAATTTCTGAACTATATTCTTTTGAATGAGTAATATCTCTAACTCTATTCGATTTTTATTATTTTTTTTTTTTTATTATTTTTTTCTTTTTTTATTTTTTTTTTTTTTTTTTTTTTTTTTGTTTTTTTTTTCTTTTTTTTTTTTTTTTTTTTTTCTTTTTTTTTTTTTTTCTTTTTTTTTTTTTTTTTTTTTTTTTTTTTTTTCTTTTCCTAAATACCTCAAACTTTTTGATTTTTCGTTTTTTTTTGTTTTCTATTCTTTTTCTCTTTCTATTTCATAGGGTAGTTCGATGCCCTGATTACGAAAATGACATTCATTTTTGACGTGGCGTGGGCCAATTGGCGCCAGTTTGGCGTCAGGGCTATTTTCACCAAATTCGCTGTAAACTTGTATACAGGGGTTATTTCGGGGTCCTGATTACGAATATAACATCCATTTTGCCGCTTGCGCTATTTGGCCCCTATTTTCGACTCGTCTGCGCCCTCTCACTGATTAGCTCGCGATCAGGACTAAGCCTTTGGGGAGAGGAGTGCTCCGAAGATGAGTAAATCACTCATCCTGTGATCTTATACGCTTCAACATTTGCCACACGTTGCCTGGTTCACCCACGTAGGAGTCCTCTCCTCCTAAGCTCAGTCCGAGGTAATATGTACAAGTGAGAGAGCCCAAGAAAACGGGAAATATGCGTTGAATAGTGCAAATGCCAAAAACGAATGTCATATCCGTAATCAGGACCCCGAATAACCCCTGTATACAAGTTTACAGCGAATTTGGCCAAAATAGCCCTGGCGCCAGATGGCGCCAACGTCAAAAATGAATGTCATTTTCGTGATCAGGGCATCGAATAACCCCTATGGGCGAAGTTTCGACGAAAATTAAAATTTTGAGATTTTGGGGTTGTAATAGTTGAATAGTGCCAAATTTTGCTGTCTGTATAGAGGAAGAAGCCTACTATTCTTACATTTATTGTGACTAAATGTATCAATCTTCAGTTTAGGCTGCAAGCAGCGCGAATGCAGCGGCGCTTCTTGAGCGCTCAGGTTTCTCGACAGCTTTCATTGGGTTCGACAGTGGAGCCCCCAAACGTTTTCGAAGTGGCGGCTGCAGCTAAGGCAGGCGTAGCTTGTAGAGAGCTAGATCCAGATGTAGTCCTAATAATGAGGAAGCTATCGAAAAAGGACCCACAAACACGAGAGAAGGTGAGCATCTTTTGAAACGTCCAATGGAATTCTCTCCCTGAATGGCTTTCGAGGAGGATGATTCTGACAAAGTATTTTTCCTAGGCTTTGCGAGAACTTCTCACATGCCTTAAAGAGAAAGATCGAGAAATGTTAGAAGTTTGTTATAATCACTTTGCTACCGGAATGGACAAACTGATCGTGGTAGGTTTTACCTCTTATGATTGTTTGAGCTTCAGCTTCTCGCTTTCATTTGTTTGAAGTACTATTGATGTGATTTTTAGTCGGTTTTAGAGACCATAGTTGTGACTGGGAATGTCGCGACACTTTTCTTGCATCCAATTCCGTCAGCAACTGAGTAAACTTTCCGTGCTCTTGGTTTTGAAGAATTGACGGCACTTGGGCCATTGACCCACCTGAAAGCAGTTAGAGCATTTGACCAACGGGACTTGATCATTGCATAACTACGTGGCTCTCATTGTAACTGGAATGAGCGCGATTCACTCGAAGATGGCCAACGTATCGATCAAATTAGCCTTTGATATCTTTGCCTTCCGACAGACCAGTAAATGCTTCTTGTTTTATTAACATTTCTTTCGCATTTATTCGGAATATTCTTATGGATTTTCAGGATGGAAGTCCTACTGTGCGGATGTTTATCCCTGCGAGTGACCTCCTTTTTCATCTCGTCTCTGAAAAAAGCAGCTGAAAAAGCAGTTAAAAAATTGTGGGCTATTTCTAAGTAGTCGCTTTTCCGCATAATTATCTCGTAATTACTATAGATATACTCAGGTTATGGCCTATGGTCTTATGCAACTTGCGATACCAGTCTTTCTGTGTCGAACCAAGCTGAAGCAGTACTTTCGGAGAACTTCCCTGGCGAAAAGGCGACGCAAGCGACGTCGATTTTTGCTGCCGACACGGCGAAGCTCGCCATTGAAATCATAGCTGGGCGCCATGCCTTTAGTTCAACCTCCAAAGGTCTGTCATACGTTTACTTTGAATCACTTTTACTTTTTAGTGTAAAAGCGTACTATGGACTGTTAAAGAATATTTGACTGTGAAGATTCTCCTGAGCAAAGATCATCGCGTCTGACCACGCAATGCTTATTAGTCATTGCTCGCTTAGCACAATCGGACTCTAATAACCCTCATTTCAAAGAGGTTCTAGAGAGTTTCTTCAAGCAAACGGCGGTTATCAAGAACTTGACTAAAGGGATCCCAGCGGTGGGTCAGTCATAGCACCTGGCTATGTTTTCAATTTATTTCACTGTAGTGTTTCTAGGTGAGGTCAGCGCTTCTTGGAATCTGCCTAAAAATGACAGATTGTGTGCCGATGTTACTAGATACTCCACTGGCGTCATGGATCATTTCGAACCTTGATTCAGCGGATTCATCCATATGCACGAAGGCTTTTGAAGCTTTCACAGTTCTACTGTCAGATGAAAGGTAGATTTTGGAGGCTTCATCTACTTTCAATTTCTATGGCTCGATTTCTAGATTCTATTCGAAATTTCGACGTCCAAAAGTCGGTGATTCCTAAGCTTCTGTCTGTTGTCAGACGAAAAGAGGTGTAAGTAGTATTTTTCTTCTATGTTTTTTGTTTTTAAAACTAACGTCTCCTGTTGGAGTATTACAACTATCAGTGACTGCTCACATGACAACTTCCCCTTTTTCACTGCTTCTTGAAGTTTTCGCGACTTTCGGTCACCTTCGGGTTCTGATTTCTAGTTCTAGTGTTCAGAATGGATTTTGATTTCCGCTCTAGTTTTGATTTCCGCTCTAGCAGTTGACACTGTCTCTTCAGTGGAGTTGATGCGCCAAATATCTCGATACCCTTATCACCATTTCGTGATTAATTCCACTGAGCTTGCTGTTTTTTTTCGTTACTTTTTGCCACTCTTTTTTAATATGACGCAAAATCTAGGAAATGTGAGCGTTTTCATTGCCATGGACCAAGCTGCTTTTGTAGCAAGTAAGCAACTTGAAATTGACCTGGGCTATAGCATTTTTATCAGGTGAGAAAGTACAGCAACGGGTGGCGTAATAACTTCGTATGTAAGAATTGTTCTTCATAGAAACCCGCCACAAATCAATTCCTTTATGTATGTTGACCCTCCGATACCTTGTGTTCAGTACCTAATATCTGCGCTTCGGCACCCTGTGACATCCATTCTCCAAGATATGTTTTGCTGTGTTTTGGATGGACATAGCTTTTTTTTCAGTCATTGGCGTCATGCGTCGCGATTCTTATTACCTTCTTATGCTGTTTTGGCTGCACATGTAAGTGACCGGCCGAAATTTATCCAGTCTTTCTTGACATCGTTCAACGACAATCTTCCGTTTGAAATTGGAGGATCCATGCCATTCTGGGCGGATTCATTCTCTGAATGTGTCAAATTCACCTATTCCAACAAGGAGATGATTGCAGAGTCTTTGGATTTGAATATAGTCGAAGTGGTAGGTTTTATTCTACTACTATCAAGTATTTGTTAGTTTAGATTCAATGATTTGGGATTCTTATGCAGGTTTTTGTTTAGCTACTTCAAAGTGTAGAATTAGTGAAGGACGAATCTAGTGATTGCCAAGAGATCATTGTAAATCTGCTGCTGTGGTTGCTAGAGAAAAATGCGCTCTCTGCGGAGAATAACACTTTTCTGCTCGACTCGTTGCAGCTCAGTCTCATGGGCAAGGTTCGAATAGCGCGGTGTGGCCTCAACACATTTTCTAGACCTAACTGAACCTTATTGGCATTGTTTACGAGCCACAAAAGCGATTCCTTTTGTGGGCTTTACTATGGCTTCGGCTTCGTGGTCCTTGCGAGCATTCCATGTGGCACTTCTACGGGTGCCACCGCTTCACCCAGATTTCGTCCGTCCACTGCTCACATGCAGCGAGGATTACCTTCAGTTTGTGGACAAGGTATGTTCCTTTTTTCCACTTACTTTAACTTCTGCAACAATGGGTGAAATACACTTTTTGAAAGGCTCCATCCACGACCCCTTATGTCTGGTTTCTGGTTAAGGGCCATACATCCTTTAAGGGATACTCCTCCATTAAGGCGGAGGGAGGGGCGGTCTTTGACATGTTGGTGCTCTTAAGGTCGTGTTGAAGGGTGTTTGGAGTGCGTTCAAAATAATCTTATAGTCTCCGCTGTTTCTGTTATTGTGTTGATCTTCCAGTTGGTGATAGGTTATGTTGGAGGGTTGGTTCCTCATCACTAGTCTTCGTCCATGCTTGGGTCGTGGATCCAAAACTTCTGCGAGATGGTAACCTGAAAAGGAGATAATGAACGTATCTTTCAGAATGTGAATATTATTCCGGTTCTCAGCAAGGAGTCGAAACCCTCTTCCGTAGATGCTCAGGTTGTGCTACGGATCTTGCGAAGAAGTCCCGAGAAAACAAAGAGCTCAATGTAAGTTTCTTGGTGACGATTGAGTTCGAGGGATTTTCCGCACAGGGCACTTCACCACGAGACCCTTTGTTTCTTTACCCTCAAAACATTATCTTTGATCCTTTTGAGCATAATAGTTTCCAGTTGCTGTCCTCCAACCTCACTCCATTCATCCTAACTGAATTCTTGCCCGAGGATTGGCCGACGATTGCATCGAGTCTGGGATCAGAGCTGATACCTTGTTTGAAAAAAATCGTTGTTCAGTGGAAGATTGAGAAAAATTACTCAGATGTCTGCAAGGTTTTGGGAGTGATTGAGGTGAGTTATAGGTCCATATATTTAATAGGTTTTTGTAATCTTTTCGTAGTAATTCTAAGCAATTTGAGGTTCCTCAACGTGGCGAGGTGCTCTCAGCGATTCTTGATAAATCATGCTCGGCACAATTTATATCGGAGCTAATGAACACGTTGGAGGTCAGTGTATATTTTTCAATTTGAATATTGTAGTCTGTTTTTTTGTCTGTCTTCATTGCCTCTTGTGTAACAGAAATCATTTCAAGCTTCCGGAAGACTTGACTGCTGAATTTTCCCGACTTTCCTTTCATGCGCTCTTCAGCAACGATGTCTCTGATGAGGGTAATGTTCTTCAGTAGTTTTAGTTTTTTGTTTAGTTTTTTCTCAGTTTTTGAATACTCGTATGTTACATTGCGGTAGATTGAAAATTGTTATATTCCATGGATTACCTGTTTCACCATTGCTCTTCTCTGATAGCATCAGCCCTATCCTAAATTATTGAGGTAACAGCAATTGATAATGATGGCCTGGAAAGGTGTCTAGACGAGATTCTATCCACCTTTGGCTATCTTCTTCGTCACCTCCGTGATCCACGATACGTGTGGGCAAACGCGGGGTGTCTCGTCCATAAGTTTGGATTAGTCACCATAATTTCATTTTGCAAAGCCCTAGCGCCATTGCCGTGCAACAACGGCACTTCTTGGATACTCGAGGGCTACTCTATTTCACCCAATGAATAGATTCTTCAACACGACTCTGCTGAGGCTGTCGCTTTTAGCATTTTTTTCTTAATGAACAACTCCAGTATCGGATCGAAGTTTTAGGATCTTTGCCTTGAATTTAGCTCAACTAAAATCGTTCTGCTTAAGTGTCTGCATCATATTTTCTAAGCATTATTTGCCTTTGCATTCACGGGAAATAGCAACAACTTCATACGTAAATTTTTAGATATCGACTCTGCTCTACAGACTCTTTCACGGTTTCCCCCTTGTGAGGTTTTGATTCGAGACGCGCTGCTGTCCTATCTCGATGAATCACACTCTTGTAAGCCTTACTCACTGGAAAGGTAGTTATTTTTCAACGATAAGAATATTTTCTTTGAAGATAAGAATTTACGGATGAGTTCTCAAAATAGTTCGTATTTAGTTTACAACGAGTTGGGATTGTGTGCACACAACTACTCTATTCTGACAGCCGGTATCGCGCTCTTCTTCCAACTCAGGACGAACTTCTGTCTATGTTAACAACTTTCGACTTATATGTGAGGCTCTAGCATTTTTGTATATTTTTTACTTATTATTTAAATTGGATATGTGAAGTTTTGCGGGGTTTCCTTTGTGTACATCGATTTCGCCCACCAGGAAAAGAAGATGCAGTGTTAAGGACACAGCCATTTCATTCTCAAAAGTAGCACCTTCAAATTTAGATTCGTTCATTTTTTTTCCAAATTTCTCTGATATCTGGCGATTCCATTGGTAGTTGCTCTCCATCCTACACCGAACGCTATTCTCTTTCTCCTTCTTCTCTTTAAACTTCTACTCTGTCTTCCGAGTACATCTCATTCATGTCGCGAGCACTTAGGTTGGCCAGTGACATTTTTATATGGGTTGTGCTTTCTTGGCTGAACCACTTAATACCAACTTAACTATGATGAATGATGTGGCTAAATAAAAAGTTTGAGGGTTCGGAACATATAGCTACAACTGAACAATGCACATGAAAGTCCTGCGGAAACCAAAATTATCAATTTTAGGTCACGAACGATGTGGTAGCCAAGTATGGATTGTTTGGTGATCCTTTCCCAAATGGGAAAGAATCGTCTGGTTCTGAGGAACAATTACTGGCCACTGTTGAAAAAGCGGCTCGGAGGGCGCTTATCTACCTTTGTATAGACTGCGAAGGTTAGAGATACTCTTTTACTCACTTACGGGCACTGTTTTTGTGTGTTGCACAGAAAAGGAGGTGGGAGCAGTAATAAGTGACACGCTACTGTATGCGTGGTTCGGATAAGATACTACCCAGCTTAATAGAACCTGACCATCCTTTTGGTTCCATTTTTCGAGAGTGTACAACATTTGAATATCTTTTATCTGAAACTACTTATTTCTATAGATAAAACTCACGATGTGTCTTTGGCTTATGCTGCTGCAATATTTCCTGTCGCGCAGCTGTTTTATGATACACGATGGCGATGCGATGCGAAGACTGAACTCCTTTCCGATGTCATGAATCGTTGGCATCAGGTATTCCAGGTATGGGGCTCTAGCTGTCTTCTCGCATGAGCGTAGGTGTGATATTTGAGTTTCTTCCTCTCAAACTTCACTGTTCATGTTGTTAGGTTGTCCAGAAATTCAAGTCCGTTTTGCGACCCTGCTTCTTCGGCGCAATTTTTGGAAACAAATGCGCTGGCGTGGATCGATTTGTTACACATATTTAAGAAGTTCATTTCTCACTTCCTCACAGTACGTCGAGATGTTAGCGTTGCTTGAATTTTCGGCAGAATTTTCAGCTCATTAATGGAGCTATCAAACCAGGAAATTTGACTAATTTACTTCTACAAATTCCAGCTCGGTCAAAATGCAGCTAGCTAATAGCGAAAATGCTTTAACACAAAAATGATATGTAGTAATGGAAGTGCTAGAACTATTTATCGTCGGTGCGGAAAGCTTCGCCGTGGCGAATCCAATCAAGAAAGGTCGCTTATGCTATTCTGTGCTCGATTAATTTAAATTAGGGGAGTTGGTGGGAGAAAATACACATACAGTCGATATCCGAAAGTTGGGGTAGGCGTGTCACCGGAAGTGACGTGCACTTGATAGAAGTTGCGTGGATAAGCTGTTGCCAGCATGCTTTGCTGATATCCAGCGATGTATGTTGGAAGCAGCTTATCCACATAGCTTCTATCAAGTGCACGTCACTTCCGGTGACACGCCTACCCCAACTCTCGGATATCGAGTGTAGTGCTGAATGAAAGCTGGTAGCGTTTCTAGGTGTAGAACTAGGAATGGGGGGGGGGGCGAGAAAGGTGGACCAAGATCCCCTAAGAGTTGAACATGTAACAGTAGAGTCGTCGGTATGAGCTGCTGTCGGCCCTTCTTTTGCGCAACGAAAATGATCCTTTTCCTATCGAAAAGAGCGCTGTGAGCACGACTAAAATTTGATCCTTTGTGACAACTGGAGACGATCGGCTCAGTGGTTGGTCGTCTAGGGAAGACACCATCTTACCGAAACAAAAATATGCCAACTGGAGGCCATGTTGAGTGGCCTGTTTCAGGCCCCATTCACGACAGTTCCTTTATACTCGGTAGAACAATAACGGTAGAGGAGTAACTCTAGGAGTTGGACCAATTCATCAGAAACCTCAACTACTGAGCTCGACCTTGTAGGAAGCGGAAGACTTGTTTTTCCTCGCAGCAGTGCGCGGCACACGTCGCAAATTTGACGTTCCAAAACCCGACAAATTGGGATATGAAACATTGTCTCACTCATCATACTCGGATGCTCTCCCTATAGATGCCACTTTTTGATGAGATCCGACAATTCCTCGACGAAGAAATGCTTTAGTGTCAAGCCCAGGTGAAGAACGACGTCGAGGATTTCATAAGCTCCAAAACTTTAGACATGCAAGAAAAACAATTGCGCCTGTCCCTCGTTCGCGAAGATGTGTACACTCTACTGGTTTTTATTTCAGTTGATAATTTTTGTGCTAAGTAAGATATGCCGTTAAAAATAAGGCTCAAAAACTGATATTAATTTCTGGACAACCTGATAATACTGTAACATTATTCTTTGTTGCAACTGTTTTGTTCAGAAAACGGCTTTGGCGTCATCTCGGGCCATTTCTGCCATATTAGCATTGCCATCATCGCCTGCCACCGCGCAGATGACTCTTCACCATCTACGATTTTCTACTCATCCTCGGCTTCCACTTCCATCATGGAGTGAGCCCGAAAGCAAGATGGCTTGGTTCTGGGCGCTGCAGAATGATTGCTCGGAACTAAATCTGGATTCACTGGAGCAGTGGATAACTAGGTCAATTTGTTTCATTGTCGTACCTTACTCACAAATTGGCACACGAGAGCAGCAGATGCACGCCAATGCTTTTCTGCGGTGGAGCATTGAATTCGTCCTTGTCACATAGTTAGTCGTTGTCAGACTGCGATATCAGCACTAGCAACCTTGCGTGCGAATCTCTGAAATCCCCAAGCAATATCCCACGAGCGAAGATAGGCTGGCTCTTCGATGACATCCCCTAACCCTTGCTGCAACTCTCCCGTAAACATAATCTTGACTTACCCTACCTTGACCCAACCCAACCCTACTGTAGGTTGCAGGTCGGGGTAAGGATCGAGTTAAGGTTTGAGCAAAGTGATCTATGCATGATACTATCATTGGTGAGTAATATGTCAAGTGCTACCAAGGTTCCACGACTGCTTGCCTATTTGTTATGCACTATGAACGCAGTTATGGCCTGTTATCCTGAATGTTGCCTCTTTAGTCCATTTCGAATCAAAGTTTGACTTCTTGTCGCGAATCCATGAACATGTTCAGTCTGATATGTCCGAATGGGAGGACTCCATATTTAACGCCAGGTACTTTGTGATGGATTTTATTCTATCAGTCGTTTCAGCAGTTCTGTTGTAGTTCGTTGGATTCTCCGTCTTGGCGAATAAGTGCGCTATGTCTGCTTGCTGCCTTAGACATTCTGCTGAATACGCTACATCCTTTTGCCTGCCGATTGCTGGATTAATAATGTTGGCGTGGGACAGCAATGGATGTATGTCTTTGGAACCGATGTCTAGGTGTTTCATGGGTAGTTCGAGATTTTTTTAGAGCTGCGATGAACGCATGGCTGCACAGGGCAAAAACGCGCCTCAACTGGAAGCACTAGCTGGCCTAGCTTTATTGGTATTCAGCAAATGCGATAACATTAAGTTGTGTCACAATTACGGTAACTCGTTTGATACGGTGAGTTAATGAATCAACCTCATTTTTCCAACAGCAGCAAATAAATATGCAAGTATTGTAGGAATGGCCCAACTTCTTCTTCCAACAATGGCACGTATTGTTGTGCGATGGTTCACATTTCTTGACGCTGGTGAGGAACTGATCAAATACATTGTTTCCAATCTTTTCTTAACTTCTATTTTATCCACATTCTCACTGCTCTGAAAGGCCTGCAATCAACTAACGCTTCCGCTAGCTCCATGACAGGTGTTGTTGCGATGGCGTCGGATGCAGAAGTCCTGCATAGCGATGTTTAAGCAGTATAGTTCCATAAGCAGGTTTTGTCTTAACCCGTAATGGTGTGGAACGAAGTGCTGCCCTATTCAGACAACAATGTGACTGAACAAAACAACCACCTGAAAGCGCTAGGCAGGAGCCCTGAACGCTTCGAAGTGGCGAGTGGTGTTCACCGGCTGCATCCCCTCTGCCGCTTCTCAACCCTTCTCACTTGAAGCAGTTGCCTCTTTTTGCCAGCGGCATTTCCAAGTGGAGTTTTTTGTTCAGTTCGCACTTCTTTTGTTGTCTAAGCTAGCGCACTATTTTTGAAAATCAAACCTGGTGAGGATGTGCTTTCAACCGCATTTCATTCAATTTCAGCTATGGAGCTGATTTTATTTAGAGGATATCGTAACAATCGGTTCCGATGAGGAAGCGACATTTGATAGTATGAAAATGAGTCTTCCAGAACGAATCCGCCCCATTTGTCAACGTCTTTGTCAATTTTTTGTCATCGGCAGTACTACCAAACGATTGTTTTCAGATAGTCCAGCACACATTCTTCGTGAGGAGTTTAGTGGATGCGTTGCTGCGCATAAACAACTGCGGACGATTTGTCACTGAAAACAAAGCTTTGCCCTGAGCTGGATAAATTTGGGTACGTACGGTTGTTTTATTTTCTCACATTTTCATACCTTCCCTATCTTTCTAATTTATCATTTCTGTTATGCATGAGACTGGAGTGTGCAGTAGCCGTAGCGGTTCCAGCTACGCTGTTCACAACCTAATGAGGGGTGTGGTTCACTAGGACAGGAAGCGGCTTTTTTGCAGCGAAAGCGCGAAACTTTTTCCGCTGCGGGAACCTCTGGTCCACCGCTGATCATCAATTGACCCAAGATTCCCGCAACGAGCGATGTATCGCGCTGCAACCCCGCAAAAAAGTTCGCTTCTGTTCTAGTCGCGCCACAGTCGTACTGAGCACTGATCCATGGTTAAGCAGTGTCATTCCTGTCATTGATACGGCGTGCAATTTTCAAAATTATTGGACGTCAATACCATGAATGTAAATTCTGTTTTATTTTCGTAGTTTATTAGTTTTTGTTCTTAAAATGGCCTGTAATCATTGTAGGTATGATGCCATCCATCAAACCCTGATAATTCATGCCGAAGATTTGCTTCCATCGGAAAGCACGTTCATCCGATTTACGGCCTTGCACATGCTAAGAATGTACGTTTTAGTGTGGACCATTTGGAAAACCTTTATGTTGTAATAAAGTGAATTATTAGTTTCTCCCCATACCATGTACAAAACAAGAGAAGTGCCCATTGACCGGTAGGAGAAACGGTGTGGAGGATCTTCATTTGTCAATACCGCAAGCCGAACGAATCAATTCCCATCAGAGAATCTTACGCCCTCCATTTTCCATGTTTCATCAGATGACCGCGTCGTTTGAATAAGGCCTGAATACACTTGCCACGAGATGATTGCACCACGCTGTCAACTGGACCTCCAATAAGCGTTTGATGCTCGCCTAATCCGGCTCTCGTAACTTTTTTCTAATCACCTATCATCAATCGGATTATCGAGATGCTGAGTTGATGGAGTTGGGTCTGGCGCCAAAACGCGGACGTTTCGCTGCAACGGCGGTTAGCTGTCCGCCGGACACTAGGGTCATGGGGGCGCGCTCCTTTTGAGCAACATCCTCGCAAAAGACACGGACTCGAGAGAAGGAGAACGAGAACCAATGCCCCATAAGGGCGACTTCTTCGTCCGAAATTTCGTTCGCGGTTTTCGTAAATCGGTAGCTTTTAGTGCTGGTATTTACTCGGACGAAGAACGGGTTGCTTACTGTGATGCCTTACTTCATTCTGTGTCAACCATCTTGCCTCAGGTTCTTGCTCGATGTCCTGAAGACATTCGTGAGTTTCAATGTTCTCAAATTCTCCTAAAGTGTTAAACATCGGCGCACTATTACAGCGAAATCCAAGGAAACAGAATACTTCACTTCACCAAATCTGGAGTTCAATACCGATATTTACTCGAGATATGCAGCGAATCTGCTATATCGATGAGGGTTTAGTTAAGATCAGCTTAATACTCTGGGGAGCGTTGCGAAAACGGGTGCACGTATATATGGAAGGGACAGTGGTGAATCGTGGGATCATCATATATACCGTACCAGGCTGTCCAATACAAAGCGACCGATATCTGCAAGACCGCTAATGCAGAGAAGTAATTGAGTGCTATGATAAAGAATCTAATAGAAAAAATCTTCATAGGGATCCCTACTCCTCAAGGAACCCGATCCATGGCTTCCTATCTTTTTGACTGCGCTAACCAGATATATGCTTTTATTGTCGCCGGAGGTACCTCACTTCAAGCATAAATGAATGACTGAGTTAATATACCTTCAGTACCCTTGGCAGTCTACCAGCAGTGGTACGCAACTGGTATGCGGGTCTTCCGAACACTGGAATGCAGATTGTTAGCTTAAGTGAGGACCTTTTCTTTAGTGAATTGATTGCGTTATTCTAACCCATGCATTGGAAAGTATTCAAGTATCCTGAGGAAATTCATCGAATAATTGAGAAACTGGTATCTTTAGGTACGTTCGACGGTATGTCAGCAAATTATTGGTGGATGCAGAACTCAAAAAAGTTAAAGTTGCCAATCAAAAGCAGCTGAAGACTGACAAGTCGCTGAAAGTCAGTAACACCTACAAAATATCTCACTGTTTCATTTGACCTGATTCGGTAGGAATCCGATTGCGATTACCCAACGCTCGCACAAATGTGTCATAACTGGAAGCTTATGTTATGCGCACGTAACGTGTTGTATTACAGTAGCGGTCGAAAGTGTTTGCTGGAACAATTTTTTATACTTGTACTTCCTCCTACGTACATTCTCTGGCCGCTAAAATTGAAATGCTATGTCTCTCGGCATTTTCAAATACTTGAGACTTCAAGATTTAATAAATTCAGAAGAGAAAATCTTCAACTATCGTAAGTCTTTTTTGAGAGAGAAAGGAGAAGTAGTACAGGAAAAGCCGTACCAGCAAACATTTTTCCAACACTTTTACTGTTTATCCGCTTGAGTTAGGTGCTCCACGACTCTCGCTGTGATGAATTTAAAACTGCTTTGATTCCTGAACATCTCGACTTTGTCATTCGAATTTGTTCGATTACGCTGTTGCAGCTACCGGTTGTTTCCCACATAGCCAGCATTATTAAAGCAGATTGACTACACGAGATAACTTTAGATCCGGGTGGTGCCAGTCACTGGAGAGGTAGTAGCCGAATATACAGTTGAAGAGACGACAATGCGACTGTCAATAGTAATGCCGGCGGACTGGCCACTGTCTGTGCCAACCATCCAAATTGATAAAGCCATAGTGCCGTCGGAGAAAGTGAAGAAATGGTTGCTCCAGCTCACAGCTTACTTGTTCCATCAGGTGAGGCTTAAACATTAGAGTTGAGAACAATTCCTTTTCTATGACCGCGATTGGAATTCCTCTCATTGCCACCCATTAAAGACTGATTTTTATTAGTGAAGGTCAATCGTCTTTTGGTTGTTTAGAACGGATCTACAGTGGAAGGAGTGATGATGTGGCGAAAGAATGTCGACCGAGACGTGGAAGGAGCAGAGGCGTGCACAATCTGCATGATGACGATTCATGCTACTAACCATCAGCTGCCTAAGGTACGTTTTTTTTTCTGCAAGACATTTCTACGTCAACAATCAAGCTACTACTTAGCGCATGTGTTTTATCCTACGCCCACATTACATGTCATCTTGGACGTCTTCTTAGGTCTTCTTAGGTACTCGGATTCTCACCCTAGTGCCCTACTCTTTCGACTTCAAATACTACCGTGCAACATCCCTTAATCCCTCAGAGTTAAGAAATCCCTAAATCTTTCCTTCGTGAAAACTCCAAAGTAGGTTTCCCGAGACCTCTCTGACTTCATCGCTTTCCTTTTATTACTTCTTCTTACTTTGCCTCTATCCAACTTCTTCGATGTGTTGCTATGCGGCCTACTTGAAGGTCATTAGACTGAGACCCCTCATTGGTGCTGGGGTAGTATTGTTCCCATGGAAGGAATTGGTAGAGTAGCCGCGTAAATCATATGTTTCGGATTCTTCACACATCTGATTAAGACCTAGTCATTAGTAGATCCACTTCAAAACAGACCCGTGAAGTAACGTGGAAGGGAGGGAGGGGCAATTTTGTGCAAGTCTTCTACCCTTCAGGGCCAATTTGTCATCTCCCAACTGATCTTGGAGGAATAGTAAAGCTCAACGTGGCTACGGTCGGTTTGAATCCGCGAAGTATTGAACACTCTCCTAAACTTTACGCTGTTTTTGCTTCAGGATAAAGAGACAGAGTAAAGAGATTATCCACTGAATTATGAGGACTAATGTGTTCTTTAAAAAAAATCGTGTCATATAACGTCTATATTGCAGGTGAAATGTCGTCAATGCAAGAACAAGTTCCATTCCAACTGCTTGGTAAATTTTTAAACGATATCTTTCAAGTAATTTTGTTTATTATAGAAAAGACATATAAATTGATTCAAATATTTACACTACATATTTTGCTGTCTGATTAGGCAGGTCTACGGAATTGACGTGGCGGCACCGTACTTGATAGAAGTCGAGTGGATAAGCTGTTTCCCGCATGTTTTGCTGATCTCTAGCGGAATATTTTGGAAACAGCTTATATGCGCGATTTGTATGCAGTGCGACAGCTGCCACGTCAAGTCCATAGACCCGCCCGATCAGACGGCGAGATTGTGGACCGCGTTATTGAATTTTGGTGAAAGTAATTAATTGTTTTACAGTACAAATGGTTTGAGTCAAGCAGTCAGTCCCCCAGTTGCCCGCTGTGCCGATCTAATTTTGGCTGAAGGATACCCCTCCAGTGTTAGGGTGTGTTATCTTCTTTGTTGTTTGGTGCCGTAATTGCATGATGAATGATGGTGTTAGACGGTTATTTGCAGCTCTTGTGATTCCAAATTCTATTAATAATTGTATTAAATCTACTATTACTATTAAATAAATGGGCTAGTATTACTGATGAGTGGTCTGATTTCACTCATTTCGTGTATTTTAGTGAAAATTTCGCCGAAAAGAGAAAATCGCCTGGAAACTATCCAACCACTTTCCAATTAACTAAAATAGCACCATCATCGATATTCAAGGATATAAAGGAATCTTGCGCGGAAAATTCTTGCACTCTTTCCTAACATGAATATGTCAGTTGTGATCACTGGAAATAGCACACAAAGTTTCACGCATGAAGATTCGGTTTCTGAAGAGAAACAGGAGGCAGAGCCAGGCGAGGCATGGAAAGAAGACGGCGTTTGGCCGGCTACGTACCAGGCGACGCAATGAGAGAATCGGGTTAAAGCGCGCGATTTCGGAGAGTGGAGACAAATCGATCGATGGAATAGGATGGAGTAGAAGTGTAAGATGTGAATGCAACGAAGCAGAAGGCCAGAAAGAGCTTCTAGTGAATGCACTCCAAGAACCAAGTTTGAGCATCCCCGTCGCCAGCATTCGTGAAAGACGTCCGTGGGCAATTCGAACGCGTAGCAGCCTTTTCGAGTTTTCGAATTTCTAATCAAAACGAAAGCAATACTTCAGTTCTTTTCACTATTATCGTGGATAATGAGTCTCAAGCCAGTGATTTATGGCTGAAATAGAATCATGATTTTTCCGCGCAAGATTCCTTTAAGTTGCTCAGCAAACTAGGCGCTCTATTGCACGTCAGACGAAGATCGTTCTGCCAGAGCCGTATGATGATCAGGATAGAGTGAGCGTAGCTTAGTAAGCTAATACACTCACATAGTCAGACACTACCGACGGGTCAGGATCAAGCAGGGCGAGCAGCAAATTTTCGTAAATTTAGCAACAGAAGCACTAAAAACACAAAAATCCCAAGAATTTTATATACTCAATACATCGCTATTTAAACTACGTTCCGCTCCTAAAACTGACACTGATCCCACGCTACTCTCCTTCCCCTCCATTCCGAGCAGATCGAATCGACTTCCCGTTGAGCTTTGCTTAAAGGACGAATTCACGATGGAAAAGCAACCCATTTCAAATTAACCTAGGGATGGTGAGTGGTACACGAAAGAAGGAAAAACCATGAGAAACGGCCCAGAACCCGAGAAATGGGACCCCTTCCTTGCCCGTTGATTTGCGCATTGATGCGACTCTCATCGCTGTGCCCTCTTCAACACTACGCTCTCTCTGCTATCTAATCACTCGCCACGTATAGACCTGCGGCGAGTGATTAGATGGTCGGTGGGCGGACCCCGCCAACCGCGCCAAGAGTGAGCCATGCTAGGTCGCCGAGGTCAAATTTCGATGCCAATTGCGCGTCAGTTCGCACCCTCAGGAGGTCCGGGGTCCTCAACTAGGTGAATTACTCCTTCTTCGACCTTCATTCTAATCGTGAATTCCTCCTTTAAAGACAACTAGTCGTGCTAGATGGACATTTTCGTCATTTCATGGCCCCTTAGCCACACTGCTTACCTCTACATCACATCAATTCCCATGGCTTATTGGTCTTCAATGAATATACAGTATCAAATGGCATCATCACTCTCGAAACACTCATTTTTTGCCGACAAGAGATGCCCACTCTGGCTTGACTCATGAACTAACAGCAGTGGTAGCGATGGTTGGGGGCAGGGTCAATCGTCCGTTGTCCTAATTCCAAAGTTTGACCACCTCCACCCTCATAGAGCGGATCACTTCGACCCTTACCCTTCTTCTTCTTACCCTTCTCACCGCCATTAGCCTAAAGCGGTCCCCCCCCCCCCGATGCGACACCCGTTTCCATCACCCACCACCACCCTCATATCGTAACTGTTTTACATATTTGCATTCTGAGATCAGACGACACGGTCCAACTCGCTCACTTTTTCCTCCAAACCTTGCAAAACGGG